AGTTAAGCTGGTACTCAAAATATTTTTCCAAGCTGGAGACTAAGTGCTGATGGATTATCTAGTTAGCTGTAAATTGCATGGTTGCTTCTGGTTTTGGTTACTAGCTCAAAAACAGATACCCTATTCTGTTTGAAACAAGCTTACAATAACCGTTATTCATGTAATATAATAGATTCTTCTGGTACCACACACATTGGACTTTGTGAAACAAAATTTTCTGTTCAAATGGGGTTTGCAGTCAACTGAGCAAAGACTGTTTATGGTCGCCTTAGTTGAAACCTGTACAGAAAGAAACTACTCCACTTTGCTGTACCTTGAAGAGCAAAATTTGGGAACAGAGCCTGTCATAGAGGCTGTTGGACATGTGTGTCCAGTGAAAGGCAGACAGACAAACTTCTGGCCCTGTGCTTTGGGTGATGGGCTTCCTCAAGCATTGAAGATTTTAGGGCTTGTGCAGCTATTGTGCCACAGATCTGGGCCACAGCTATTCTTAAGTGCCCTGGTGGCTCCCACTTCACAGGGCTTTTGCTCGGGCCAAGGGCCAAATAGATACCCTTTGCAATATGTGTGCAGTCAGGACACGGTTTCAGTAAAAAGCCATTAAAAACCACACATATTTCTTCTTGTGGGACTAAAGCATCACCTTAAAACCATGTGGACCACTCAGGCAATGGCAGGGGAGAAAAAGTACATTGAATTGGTTGTGAAAAACTGTCAGTTTAAATCAGGTAGAGGTATTTGATAAGGGAACAGAGAAGCTTAGTCCATTTTAAAGAGTCTTCATTAAACTATCCTGCCCTTCTGCTGCATGCACATAAATGACAGTACTGATGTGCAACAGTAATGTCAGCAGGTAAATCGAGTGTTAATGCTTGTGTTAATGTTTCTGAGCACGCCCCCTATAAAAAGGAGATGTTTCCAAAATCCTGATGGGTCTGATGTGAGCAGAATGCTGAGTCAGGGAAAAAACCCAACTTACTGCAAGTGCTCATTTGACAGCAAAGGATTTTGTGGTATGCCTCAACAAGACATCTAAAATTTCACTCATAATTTTATGAAATGTCTCTCATTTAAGTTGTCAAAGCCTGACAGGCTTGTTAACAGCATCAAGGGGTGAATGGTCCTTCATCTTCTTGCTCTTGCTCAACTGAATGATCAATGAACAAACTAAAGCTGACAGCTGCTGCGAAGATATCAAGAATTAAAGGAGATGCAGAAGATGTGTTCTACTCTTCCCTGTCTAATTCAGCCTAAAGAATTTGATATTCATTTCAATAAAAGGTTGAAAAAGCAAGAACAACAGTAGCTTTAATCCTGTCTTTAAGTCCAGCTTTTCTGCCCACTCCAGCAAGGCCCACTAGACAGGAACAAGGCAGGGCAACTCATGAGACTGGGGTTCACTAGTTATTTTCTGTTTCCAGGGTCTTCTTCCACCAGGAACACAGGAGCTAAGAACCCATTAATGGAATAAACATGAAAGGCTATCAGAATGTCCCCAGGATTTACACAATATCTTGACAAATTTGACTGTAAGAACAAAAAACCAAGTATTTTTCTTAATTGTTCTCCATTAAAATGCCAGTATTTTTTGGATGTTGTTAGCTCTCACTTTAACTTAATGTCTTCAGTCCATGTCTAAGTTTCCCCAGATTTTCCTGTAAAAAAAGTAGGGAGGCACGTGAAATACAATGATTTTTCACAGCATATCAATACTTGCTGAAAGCCAGTTTTGACTTTCAAGATGTACTTGAAACCTCATTCTAAGAATTAATGAGGGAACTAAAGCATGTTACATGAATAAATGACCAGTCAGATTGGCTAAGTTTTGAACATTAGATTACAATAAACCAGGTGAATGACAGGCAAACCAAAGTGACTCCAGTCTCAGGATGTGTAATACACTGGGGGGGACACACAAAACAACATGGGGAACCTCTGCATAGCCTGCTCAGGAACACTTTGTAATCAGGAAGTCAGACATCATTAAATAAATTATTTCTTAGAAGTTATTCAGCTCTCTCCTAGCAAGCCAGCAAGGTCTACACTGCAGTTATTACATGCTTGGCCAAACAGATAAACTTCAGTGATGAGGTGACAGGCCTGACATGTTAGAGGAGAAGAGTGGACTTATTTCTCCTGAGTTTAGCCAGACTTTCAGTGTTGTCTCCCCTAACACCACTTGCATAACATTCAGCAAACTGATGAACTACATAATAAATAAATTGACAGTGGACTGTCAATTTACAGGTAAACTGTAAACTGGCAGAACTACCAGGCTCAAAGGCTTGTGATGTGGCTGGCATGTCCAGCTGGAGGCCAGTCACTTTTTTACTGTGAGAGTAATTGAATAGTTGAATAAATTGCCCAGCAAGGTTGTGGAGTTTGCCTCCTTGGGGACATTGAAAGCTTCAGTGGGCACAGCCCAGAGGACTGAGTTCTAGTTTACACTGCTTTGAGAAGGGGAGTTGATGATATCCCAAGGTCCTTCCTCACTTCAGCCATTCTGTGATTCTGTGACAGCCCCATCTTTGTCTATACCTTGAAGATATTGGCATACTGAAAGTTCTTTGCTTTTATTCGAGGAATGACACCATCAGTCAGTGTTTTTTACAGAAAGTGTACCAGTTGATTGTAATTTCCTTGACATGTAACCTGAATTTACAACTCTATTGCCATCCTTATTTTTCCCATTTCTTACTTCAACTTTGCAGAGTGCTCTCTAATGAATAAAGTCTACAGAGTATCTTACACAATGAGAAAAGGGAAGAACCGATTACCCTTTATTGAGAAAGAGTCATTTTGAAAGCTGCATTTGTTACCTAGTTCTGTTGAGTCAGCACAAAGCCTTTCTTTGTTGCAGAGTAGTTTGCAGTGTGTATGACAGTGTCCTTTGTAAGCATGCCATATATAAGGTCTGGTGCTCCTATGCCAGGGCTAGCAACTCTGCATGGTGCCACAGTCCCAGGAGAAACTCAGACATGGAAAGCCACTTTCAGGAGCTTCATTTTCCTCCTATTTTGTAATGCCATCCATCTCTGGCAATCACCAATGGTGGATATTTCTTTTGTGCCTCTGCCTGCTCCTCCTGTAACTACATATAATGCGAAAGAGTAATTTCCTGATCTACATTGTGGTGTTTTACTACAGGCAGATGAAATTTCTAAGTATAGTGGTAGGTCTCAAATAAAGCAAATATCTGTTTCCCCTATAGTTTTAGGACTTGAGACAATCCACAAACTATATTCTTAATGCCTCAGTCCTGATTCAGATGTTCTCCTGAACCAATCTTTTTTCATGTCCCCCAGGGCAGATGCAACACTGCCACAATTGTGACACCTCATGTCAGTTCTGAAAAAATTGTGTGGCTGCTACAAAGAGATCTCATCTAACCACCAGAAAACTATCTCACTGAACTTCAGATAGAAGCAAAATTGACACATGCTTGGGGATAAGAGTGGCACAGACAGCAGGGGAGAGAGAAGTGCTTGTGAAAGACTTCAGAGTGCAGGGAATTCATTCTTGCTGATGAGAAGGCCTTGAGGAACTCAACCTAAAAATTATTGCATTGTTGTAAGAATGAGAAAAAAAAATCACTCATTACTACAAAAGCATCACAGGGCCATTCAAGCACATTGAAAGCTTTTCTGAAAATATGCCTTCTGGTAAGTTTTTGAGCTATGGGATTTTTTTTAAATTTTACATTTCAATTTTCCCCACCATGTTACCTGTTATTTAAGGTCATTCTAAATATACATGTATAAATGCAGGTATAAATATGTGTATGTACGCATGTGCTTATGTAAGAATATAACTATATGAGCATATGTTTATTTATTTACATCCTGTGTGCATGTGTCCAACTACTATAGCAGAATTTTTTAGTGCAGAAATGTTTTGCAATCCGTTAATTTTTGCCTTCTTCCTGCACTTGTTACACCAGCACGAATTAACTTACAGGGACTATTTCTAGAGCAATGGTTCTCAATTGAGGCAGCAGCAAGCTCAAAATAATTTTAGGCCAATATTTAGGCAAAGCTGTGAGCTAAAACAAACACAGGGCATGTGTATTTGTGTATGAGGCTCATCCTGCCCAGCACCACTGCCCAGCTGCTAAGTGAATCCCCAGTCATAATCCCAGAGTGAAGCAGGGTATTGGGGAGCATGGAGACAGGGTGCTCTTCAGCACCCCATGAGATGCATCTAGCAAGCCATGCTGCTTGCCAGTGCCTGATGCTGATTATAAGCATCTATGTTGTGAAATGGAGATGTGGCTACATAGAAAAAGTTGGAGCTAAGCTTCTCTGGGCACAGATGCCCCATCTGTTCTCGAGAACCACCCTGACCCATCCAAGGCTTCAGGGCAGCACAGGGCTGAAACACTCCTGGGAATATCACTGGTGGGCAGGGAATCAAACAGGTCACTGAGTCCTCTTCAACCCACCCAGAGCATGTGCTGAAGTTAGTCACTACCAATAGCTGCTATATTTATAGAGGGATGTCGTAAGTTTGACGTAAGACATGATTTGTTTTTTCTGTACAGCAGGGCAAAGGTGCCTTTCTCCTCCCCTTCTTCAGTTTTTGGATAAACCCTTACTTGTTTTCACAGGAACATTAGCTCAAATCTGCTGCTACTGTGCGCAGCCGATAAAACTATTGCTTGGAAAGACCATATGTCACATGGAACTACTCAAGAGGCATAAAGCCCCACTTTTTGCCAATCCTTTAAAGATACGATTTTATGCTCAGTTAAAATGGAAAAGAGCATTATGTTTAAAGATAAACCCATTTATTGTGCAGCCACTTTGCTAAATTCTGTCACCAAATTACTTGTTAGTAAGACATTTGGACTGTCTTAAAAAAAAAAAAAGTTGTTGCACATCACTTTCTCCTTGTTTATCAGTTGCTATGACAATGCTAATGACAATATCACCACAGACAAGCACTAAAATCTTTTACTAGAGAGAAGAAAAGGCAAAATCAGTTCTGAGGAGAAAGTTCCCTTTATTAAAATACTTCTTGTTACCCTCCTTGACCCAGGTAGTTGACCAATATTTAGGGTCCCTATATGTTGTTTCTGTTCGGAGAACAAACAGATGAGGGAGTGAATTGAGCTTTTGTATGTGTGCCTGTTTGTTTAGAAAGACTGTACACAATGTCCCGTTACTCTGGGCGCAGCGGGAATCAAAACAATAGTCAGTGTTTTCTCTTTTCACACTTTCAAGCTTCTTTTGAGCCACAGCTCAAGTTATCTCTCTCAGGTTTCTCTCAAGGTCAGGCTACAAGGGTTTTCCTTGCTGGCTCTGGCGTGTCCTTGCTACTTGCTATGTCTGCTTCTCTGATGTTTCTGCTGTCACTTTCTGAGTTGCTCCATTTCATCATATGCCACCTTGTCCCCAGCCTTTGCAGTTGGATCCTGGAGAAGTGCCTCAGCCCCCACAGTTCAGCACTGTAGGCATGTGTGCTGCAGTACGTAGGGTGCGGAATGTTGCGGTGCAGCTCCTGGAGTCTCAATGAGGATGTCCCAAAAAGAAGTCAGTTCTTTTCCTAGGGAAAGGAAGCTTTCTCACCCACCATCTTCCGCAAGGTTTCATGGCTGACTTTCAGCATAACACCGAATTTATTTCCAACAGTGTATTTTTGCTCCCTGTCAGATCAGTTTCTCCACAGTAGTGCTATAAGGTGGGGGAGCAGAAAATATGTTACTATTTCCTAACAAAACAGCCTCTGATGCAACTATAATAAAGTTGTGAAAAAGTCCTACAGGAGTTAAACAGATTTGACAGCATTTAATTTCCATAAATTTAGGGCCTGATCCTGCTTTTCTTTTGCTAATGAGTACTAGAGGGAGATAATGCATGATTTTTTCAGACAAACTAAAGATAGAAGTAATGCCCCAGGTCAGCAACAAAAGACAGGTGTGGGATTGAGCTGTTGAGACATTTTTATGGCCAACAGAGGTAACTTCAGCATTCCTGCTCTGGGTTAGACCCACCTTTACTGTGACCAACAGGTCTTCTGTCCAGGCCTGACTGAGATACACAGACACTGCCTCTGGCAGTAGCTCTGCTGCTGGCCATTGGTGCTCTTTGATTGCAACAAAGGTTGCATATAGCATAATCTCCACTCAGACAGGGAAAGGTCTTTGATTTTGAACAGCAAAAACTCATAGCAGTAGCATTTTCTTTTGCTTTTAAGCAAACAGACACCAGCAGTTTTAATTTATCTCATGTTTATGCCGGGGCTATTAACATGGCCCATTCGACACGTAAGGAAACTGCTTCTAGTTGTTCTCAGGCATGACACATCTCTGATTTTCATAAAATTTCTTTTTATCATTTCTTCCATAAACCCAGCTTCCTACCTTCATATTTATGTAGGTGATGGTCTGTGGTAGGGTTCAGTGTAGACTCTGAATGACGAAGATCCTCTGGTATGACCTCATAGACCTATAACTTTGGAAACAACTCCTTCACTACCACAGATGAACTATAATTATCTGAAGACCCCAGCATCACAAATGATGTCTTTGGCCACATTCACAGCACTAATATAATACTTTGGCATTGATGAGACAGTCAGAAGTTATCCTTCTAGACTCTGTTGCCACCCATTAAACTGGAGTTGTCAGAACTGGTGAACTTCATGCCATGAAAAACCTCTGAATTGAACTGAACCTCATTTAAATGGAATGTCATATGCCAGAACAGAGGGAGCTTGCACCTTTAATTAAAAATCTCAGGCTATCCACTCATGCAGCCAGTCCTTAATCCCCAGGAAATGCCCTGCGCTGAGACCATTATTTCTCAATTAATAGACAGTGAACAGTATATATTTAGTTTAGTCTTTGAAACATATATTTGGCTTAGCCTTGGAGAAAAGGGATGAGTTTTCTCCAAGCACTGTAGAGGGTAACATCTCCTTGCATGAAACATTCTGTTATGGATATACTGTATGTAATCTAAAGTGAATGATTCTGCTGAGCTCTCAGCAGAAGATGGACTTTGGAATAGTCATGTCTTCTGAACAGTAGAAAAAAGGATTTGGATGTGTACAACTACTCTAGTACAGTAGGTGGATTTGGAGGGCAGGGGCAAGGGGGAGTAATTAATTCTCACCTTAAAACTTTGAAGTAAACACTTAAAAAGCTCTAGTAAGATTGTCACAATAAGATTGCCAAAAGAGGCTTTAGGTATTCTCAGGTTTACAGGTTATTAATTTCTTACATTTTCCATAAATTGATAGTCACTAGGTCAGAGTCTTAGGAAAAGATCTCTCCTCTCAAGCAAGTATTTTTAACAATCCATTCTACAATGATTATTCTCTGTCATACTCTCAGAACAAGGATTTGAGAACTCGTCACTCAACCCTGAACCTGTGGATCAATCCTGGATTTGTACAAACTGGTACATGTCCCAGTCTGATCCAGGCCAGAGGGGAGTACTCAAGCTTATTTCTCTTGAACCTGCCATGTGACTGGTCTTTATGCTGCCTGTATCCTTACACTGCCCTTTTGCTGGCTACAGGACAATAGTCAGTCCCAGTCAGCATAAAGCTGGGTGTTGAAGATAACCCATGAACATTTTTGGAACCAGTGCAAACCCAGTGTCAGCACTTGCAATAGAAGTCTAGCTGAGATATGTTTTATGGCATAGAGGGAGCACTGGAACTGGACTTAAAGGACTTAAAGCCACAGCCTCAGAAGCATGCCCTAAATGTAAGGCAATTACCTTATGAGGCCATTTTGCCTCAGTCTCTCCTTTTGGATGAGTTCCACTTTGCTCACAATGTTTTCACATCCACTGAGTCAGAGAGCATGAGACTAACTCTTCAGTGAAGGGTTCAGGGCAGTTGCTGGAGAGGGCAAGCACATGGGCTTCAGCACAGACTGAGGCACCTCAGTAAAGTAGAACAGTGTCAACAGGAGCAACAAGCCACCTCCAGCCCCACAGCACTCACTGGCCTGCTTAGCCACACATTTTTGGAGGAGGACTCGTGGAGAAGCATTTGAGGTAACTGATATCCCCACCCCCTTGCTCTAGCTGAGACCACTGACCATGAGGGAGGAGAGTTCAGTCTCATCCTGTTTTTTCCTATCCAGCCACCATGTGTGCATCCCGCTCCTTTCCAGCACGAGCTATAAGAGCTCTGTGGCTCTGGGCTAGTGCAGCAACCCCACAGTGAGGTTCCAAACAACTCACTGCACCCTCCTGCTTGTGTTCTGCATCCTGCCTACATCCTTACTCTGTAACTACTTTGTTCTGTTTATGGCACCTGGTTTAAGGCTGCCAGGTACCTTGGCAGGCAGTTTCCCTCTATCCTAACCTGACTGGTAGCACTTGACTGACAAAATTCATGTATCAGGTCAGGATGTCCTTTTTGACAACAGCAAACATGCTGTCAGGATTAATTTAAAACTCCATTATGTTTAAAGAAGTCAGATCGGTGGTTTATTCCTTCCTTCATCCTTATACCCTCCTCTCTTTCCATCAGGAACACCGTTTGCTGCTAAACTAATGTTTGCAGCAGTTATCAGCACACTGACGCAGGACTTGCCATCATCCCATGAAAGCAAACCGACCCTCAGCTTTGTTAGGAGTGATCTAGTTCCAGGTTTTTATTCAGTGACATATTCTCAGTTTTGCTCTTGCTGATCATAAGCAGCTTTTTGGTGAAAATCAGTACTCTCAATACTTAGTTAAAGCCACCTCTTGTTTAGCCCCACAGGCCAAAAGCCTCCTCAGTCAAAGGCTGTGACCCCTGAACAGTAGGTTAGATTAAATAGACTGTGTGTAGTCACTAGTTATAGCAATGTCTTTCTTTGGGAGTAAAATATTAACACACCCCTGTGGGAAAAGAACATTTTGACTTGATGATAGCATTTCACATTTTCTAAACAAAAAGTGAGGTAGAGAAAAATCAGGCCCTTGTTCTTTTGCTTAGCTATTATTCCCGACTAAAAGTCTTTGCTCAAAAAGTCACTGCAAAGTCTTTTTCCAGTCCCATATGCTTAGAATTATTACTGTTTTGAAAAACTGACATCAGATGCTTGTGCCCTGCTTTGTTGTCTACAATCTTCCAAAGACCATTTAGCAAAAGTCCTGGAAACCCCAGTCATGTGGCACGTGTTTTCTCTCCTCTTTCAGAACAGTTCCATTATGCCACTTCTGAAGGGTTTGGTATTTTGTTCCTATACTGATTTAGAAGCATCTGCTAATAAATTGACAGGTTGTGACACCTTCCCATAATTTTAGAGCTTTTTCACCTTAGCTACTGAGTGCTGCTTTTATGGTTTCAGAAGGCTTTTTGTTCACACAGCTTCCATCTTGAGTAGCTCATTGAATGGGGTTGTCAAGACAGCTATGTTTCATGTACATTTTTCCTGGAACTAAATTCAGTGTTGCCTATAAAATTATAATTCCTCTGTCTGCAGCAGGTTTCATTCTGCAACGGGTAGCTTTTGATTTCTGTGATTTCTCTCTTGCTAGCATCAAATCTATTTAAAATACTTTCATAAGGAAATTGTTTTTATTGGTTGCACTTGAAATTCATTTTATTCAGTATGTTACCCTCTTTCATTACACACCTAACAAATCTAGGCTCATCATTTGCTCTGTGTTGTGCCCAGTGTGTTCACTGGGAATAAAACGTCTGTATGCAGCAAATGGGAAACCAGTTGTCATTAGAGCCTTCTTACTACTCTAACATTTGCATCAACGTGGCACTACTTGGAGGCCCTGGCGAATGAAGCTCTGTTTAACTTGGATCTGTGAGTATCTATATGAGAAGTGAGCATGTACTCTAAATAATCATTGGCAGATGAAACAAGTCTTTGCTAAATGTAGCTTTCCAGCAACATAGTTTTTCTTCATCTAAGATATAACCCCTGCGTTTCTTCTGTCTCCAGTAAGGTGTCATTACAGTGAGGCTTTTTTTTCCTACTTTTGGTTGGCAGATTCCCGCTCTATTGCTTACTTCTAAGGGAGGTCAGTGAAAAGTAACCAGACAAGCAAGACTAATGTCAGCCTGTGGGTGAAAACTGGTCACACAAAGATTAATATTTGCTTCAGTCACAATAAAAAATAAAGAAAAACAAATTTAAAAAGAGTGAAAAAACACTAATTTAAAGACTTGACACACTGTCTTTGTAGAAGTCATTAAAATATTTTGACATATTTTTCAAACTTTGAAATATTTTTTGTTTTCCCTGTCAAATTACCAAAGATAAAAAGTGATTGAGAGCACTGAACAAGGGTCCAGAGCAAAAACATCAAGCAAAAATGGTTGCTACATGTAGGTTCTGATTTTCTGGTTCTGCATGACAATGTTTGAACTTGGGCATACAGAAGAAGTAATCAATTAAGAGCAATCCACTGATTCTTTCCTAGGCCGCACTGAGACTTACCTAATGTCCAGAAGTCTGAAATCTGTGATAGCCATATGTCTTTTCCTCAGCCTTCTTCCATAAGTGCACCTGCAAGTATGGAAATGGAAACCCGTTTGCTGGGACAACGGATGAGACACAGCACACGTTCAGCCACTTTTCACCCGGGGGACTGCTTAGTAGGGAAGTCTGAAAAGTCAGGCAGAACACCCAGTTCTTTTGAAAACAGGCATGACAAGAACCGGGATCTCTTTTTATCAAAGATTGCTGGTAATATAGTCAGGACATGGAGGGGAAAAACAGTTAATTTTTCACAAAATTTCCTATTTCTAATTGCAAATTCCAGAAACATTTTAAAAATCTGAACGTCATTTCGGAAGTTAGTTTAAAATGTTAAAATAATGGCTAAGTTTTATACAGATATTTTTACACTATATCTTCACATATTCATAACTAGTTGGTGCTGTGTGCAGTATTATTACTTATGTGGTAATAGGGCAGTTGAAAAATGGTTTAATTTTACTGGCATATCGCTAAACACTCCTGCTATCTGGTACCAAAACAACTGCAGTACTCATAAATCTCCTATTTGTTTTGTAATGAAATAACATTGACAGCCTCAGCATTACAACACAAACAGGAAGCACTCTGTACTAGGAAATGTACTATACTATACTAAGTGGATACTAAGCCATACTAAGTGGATATCATTATCTTTATCTGTCACTAATTTATCTGTTACTAATTGCTCTTAATAATTTTTGAAAGAACACTATAAAAGTGTAAATAAAAAAGGGAAATTAAAAAAATATTTCTCATCTCTGAATTAGACTTTTTAAATGGCTATAATTTCTGCTTTTTCTTAAATTAAAAAAAAACCCCAAAACCTTAACTATTTCCAGTGAAATGGAAAATTGGAACTTCCCCCAGCGACAAAGTAAACAAAGACTTTCAGTAGCACGTTGCTGATCTTGTTACCAGTTTTGTGTTTGGAGGGTTTTTTTGGTGGTACCATAAATAATAGCTTGCATTCTAAATACTTCTGTTTTGAATTACATGCCAGGACAAATTCTGCTTTTCTCATGCATTAAGCACTTATCCTAGCTCACAGGTATTTTGGGGATACTATCCATCATAAAACTGGGACAGATTTTGCAGTCTCCTATCTATTTCATTCTAACTTTCCTTTTTTAAAATTATTTACATTAAAAGCATCGCCTTAGAAACACCACAATATGATGAACTGTCACTTGATTTTTCACTTTTTTCACACCTAAATTACTGGACAAACACTTTAACAGTAGACCCCTGGTGAATTCCTTTCCAAAGCACCAATATGGATCAGTTCTATCACACTCCATGCCAGACAATTTGGGTAAGTTTTAGAAGAAGCTGAGAAGTTGTTTCTTGTTTTGGTTTCTATTACTCTTCTATGCAGTGTATAAGTTATTTATGTTATTTATTCTGATGCTTTATTAAATCATTGCACTTTCATATTTTTTCTTGGTTGTTTGACCTTGTATGATATTTGGCACTCAAGAGAGGTATGAGAAGGGACATTTGTATCTTATTTTGTATTTAGAAGGGGGAATTCTGCTTTGGCTCTGTTGTGACTGTTGACAAACACTGACAAGAGCAGCCCCGGACAGTTAACCTTTTGCGAAGTTATGCCAAACCAATTAGAGAAATCCGATATGAAGCACTCATCTTCAGCTTTCCAGTTGCCAAATACACCAGTTTTTTTTCCCCACAGTATCTTCCTAAGCAGGCATATCAGTACAAAATACCTCACTTGCATATCTTGATATTTTGCACACCTTTTCTGCTAATATTTCCTTCTCTCACCACCTACAACTGTTTCCCCAATGCCAACACATATTTTGTAAGAGCTGTGGTTGATGGCTGAAACCACCCCCAACCTCCATTTGCTATTTGCGATGTGATTAGACAGGTCAAGTTTAATTTCAGCACCGTACATGAATCTGTTATCCAATCATCCTAATGATACACTACTCAAACCAGCAGTGGGGCTGAGGACGGAAAGAAAACCTTGATTGTAAGTTGTCTGCCAATGATTGGAGTTTGTTATGAAAGAACACTAACGCAATCATCCTTGGCTCCCTTTGCCAAAGTTAAAGGAGCCATATCTCTTCACTGTCACTGGACCTGGAGCTGTTGACAGATGAGTAAAGGTATGCCAGAAAGAGTGCAGCATTGTGGGAGGGACTGCTTTTCCTCAGCATTAAGGCAAGGGTATATGCTTAATCAAATCAGATTTAAGAATATATTAAGAAATATTTTATTTTAAGAATACCATCTTTTCAAATATTTTAAGAAAATACCATCTTTCAGGTAGAAGATACAGCCCCTCCTCAGCTGAATATTGCTCTCCAGGTTACATAATCCAGCCTGCTGAATCAAGAAATCACCAGTGGCAGTCCCAGATAACTTGTTTTGGTTTGCCATTTCATCAGTAGTTGCACGTGCTTGAGGCACTCCCGTATTTAGTGGAAGATGCCTCCTCGCAGGGACACAGCTTCCTGGATGGCATACACACCTTGCTGCACACTCTGCCAGGGCCTGAGCATCTCCCAGCAAACAGCCCTCCAGCCAGCAAGATGTGCTCCTTGATAAGGGAGGAATCACTGCCAGATCAAGACAGCAATGGTGAGATGCAGGAACAGGCTGAATCAGCACAGGCAGATCAAAACGTCAGCACAGCTGTCACATCTGCATGCTAAAGTTTCTTGCAGGGAAGTGAAATAGCTCAAGAAGGGAACTCTGCCTCCACTTTTCATAATGCCACTCCAGAGCTTCTCTGTATGCATACTTTGCCTCTTTGAGACTCTTTGGAATGTCTATTATCCATGGGAAAAAACCCTTTCCTAATACAGACTGCAAGCAGAGGCACCAGAGTCAAGCAGGAGCATTGGAACACTTGTGCTGCAGTGAACTAGAGACTTTATTTGTATCTGTCCTGCGACTGCACCATTCCCACTCCCATTTCCAGAATACCTCGTCCTTGAATGTGCCAAACACAAAATTTGGCACTAAGAGCTGACTTATGTGAAAACATAAATTGACAGATTACCTTCTTTTTTAAGAAGTCCCACTTATTCCATTTTCCCAGAGCTGAGTACTGGTGTGCAGTCATGTAAGAATAAAATACACTCTCTTTTAAATCACTTGTCATTTCTGTGCTGGGTTGTCCTGGCTATATAACCTCTGAGCTGCTGGCAGCATGGTCTTTTGCCCACCCAGGCTCTACCCACAACTAACCACATGGGCCACATTTATGAGAAAAGCTCAGCCCTCAAACATAGAGGAAAGGATTCAGACAGCTGCTGACTCCAGGCAAGGACCTGCCACAGCTCCCTCCATCACCTTGAGCAAAATCACTGAATTGTAAAGGTTGGAAAGGACCACTAAGATCACGGAACTCATCTGTTACCACCCCAGCTTCCCCAGCGGTAAAACAGGCCCCAATACCCCATATCAGACACCTGAGAAAACCTAATCACCTCATAATACTAATTCTGTAGTTTTATTTATTTCATAGAATCCCAGAATGGTTTGGGTTGGAAGAGACCTTAAAGATCATCTAGCTCCAACCCCTCTGCCATGGGCAGGCACACCTTTCACTAGACCAGGTTGCTCAGACCTCCATCCAACCTGGCCTTGAACACTTCCAGGAATGGGGCATCCACATCTTCTCTGGCCAACCTGTGCCAGTGCCTCCCCACCCCCACAGTACATATTTTCTTCCTAATAAACAATCTAAAACCACCAGCCTTCAGTTTAAAGCCATTCTCATTTCCCCTTGTTCTATCACTACATACTGCTGTCAAAAGTCCCTATCCAGCTTTCTTGGAGGCCCCCATTAGGTACTAAAGGTGCTACAAAGGTATTATAAAGGAAGATGCTGTTAAGTCTCCTTGGAGCCTTCTCTTTACCAGGCTGAACAACCCCCAACTCTCTCAGCCTTTCCTCGCAGGAGAAGTGCTCCAGCCCTCTGATCATCTTGCTGGTCTCCCTCTGAACTCCTTTGAAGAGGTCCATGTCATTTACCTACAAAGATGTGGCAAAAACTGACAGAAAAAAAATATAAAAAGGGAAAAAAAAAAGAAAAAGAAAAAAATAAAAAGAAAAGGCATCAGATGTCTGAGCCTGTAACCTCTTTTCGGTGATGGCGTACGGGGAAGGATAACCCACACCACCTCAGAGCTGGAGAAACGTTCCGCCCTTTGCCCAGCCTCACCCTGCCTCCCCCTGACAACAAACACCTCCTCAACACGTCAAGATTCCCTCAAATACACTCCGAGTGAGAACTGCTGTGGTGCGTACTTCAAATCGATGGCAACGAAGGGGTGCTGGGTGCAAGAGGGCCGTTCGGGGCAATGAGGGATGCCTGGGACTAGGATGGGTGCTTGGGGCAAGGAACCTGAAGAGGAGCGTTCTCCTCAGACCTTAAGGAAAGGAAGGAGCTTTTTTCCTCACAGGGAGGGATGTATTTATTTTAAAGGTAAGGGATGGAACCTGCCCCTCAGGCGGCGGAGGTGCGGCCGCCGGGCTCCCCCTGGAGGCGGCGGGCGGCCGCGGCGCCGGGAGAGCGCCGGGGCTGGGGCGGCCGGGCTGCGGCCGTCGCTTTTCGGCAGCTGGGGCAGAAGTAATAATAATGAAAATTAAAACAACGAAGCCGTTGTTATTGTTGTTGTTATTTTGCTGAATTCACCAGTAATCGTTGCATGGACAGCCCCCCTATAAAAGTCAGAAGGCTCTGGAACACCGATAGCTGCCAGCTGGACAGGGCCCGTTGTCTCCCGGCACAGCTTTCCCACGGAAAGCTGATCAATGCCGGCCTCCTGCAGGCAAAATCGAATCTGCGTGGGCTTTGCACGCCTGTGAAGTGTAGGATTGCAGGATCGGCCACGCTGCTGTTGAAGATATTGGACGGGAGAGGCCAATCTTGTGGTGTGTGTCCCGTGGTGACCCGTCCAGCGCTGGTGGAAGCGTTGCCGCTGCCCCTCCAGGTTCACCTCAGCCAGCAGCCTGCAAAGGAGACCTGTGTCGCGACGGAAAAAAGGATCTGCAGTCCCTTGTTCGTGTGTTAAACGGCGTCATGGAGTGGCCGACCACAGGAATAGGTCACAGCTAGATGCATTGGTGGGTGATGAAAAGCTAAAAGAAGTCTAGGCTTCATCTTAGACTGTATCTACATTATAAATAAATAAAGATGAAAACTTCCATTGTCTGGCACAGGCTGATGGTGAGGGTTTAGGCTGCCAAAAGCCTCTGCAGTTTGATCCAGTCCCCCAGAAGTGGGACCTCCAAACATATATTAGGGATTTCTGATTGTTGAATTTCTGGTTATTAGTGAATCCAGGGCTACTCAGGCTTTGAAGAGTGGGCCCTGGGTCTGGAATTAACATGTGGAGGGAGTCTGAGAGCAGTGAAACACGTACCCCCTGCTTTTTCTCATGTTTTGGAGATGTGCTACCAAATCCTGCTCAGAGCAATGTCTGTGTTGCCTCAGTCTTCAAATCCTATTACAGGTGATTAAAATAATCTAGAGTTAACAAATTCCCAAATCACCCTTCCCAAGTCCTTGTATGAAAGAAAGGGCATCATTTCCGACAGACTGGATGTGGAAAAATTAATTTCCTGGCATCCAAACATAAGAACAGCCATGCTGGTTGAGACAAGTCCATCCAGCCCAATAGCCTGTCTCAAACATAAACAACAGCTGATGCCTGGGGAGCAGCATAAGAGAGGGGTAAGCGCACAATGATAGTTCCCTGGCATGCTGTCCCAAACTCCAGCAAGCTGTGGCTCAGGGACTTCCCTGAGACAGATGTGGTATCTTTAAATTTAATAGCCCTTGATGGATTTTTGCTTCCATGAATTTGTGTAATTGCTTTTTGAACCCATATCAATTTTTGACATTGCAGCATCCTGTGACAATTAGTGGCACACTCCAACAAAGCAGGGTTTAAAGAAGAGCCCTTATTTTGTTTGTTTTGAACAGGCCTCCTAATAATTTCATCTGATGCTCCTAGTTCTTGTGGTATGAGAGTCAATTACAATCATTCCCTATTTGCCTTGTCGGTGCCATTCATGATTTTACAGATTTCTCTCATGTCCTCCCTCATATTTTGATTTTTCAGATATGTATTCTTCACCTATTGTGAAATCCCATTACAGAAGCCATGTCACAGCCTGGACCTTCCTCTGGCTCTTGTGTTACCATTTTGGAGCTAGCAAGCTTGAACAACACCATTTTCAGGGTGTAGGCACATCAGATGTATTTATATCAGAATGCAGCAGTGTTTTTAGCTTTGTTTCTTCCATACTAAATTTAAAATTTGATTTACTTTTTTGAACACTGCCGAGAATGGATCTGGCATTTTCATAAATATGTCTAGATTTCACAGCTCTTCAAGGATTTCTTCTCCAAGAGTTAACAGTGAGTCCAGCACCTTCAGCTCTGTATGTAAAGTCTGCTTTGCCCACTGGCATTACGGTACACATATCTATGTTGCCTTTTCTCTGTTTTATCACCCGATTACTCAGTATCATGAGATGATGTTTTTGTCATGTGCCATGTTTTTGCTACCATAAATAACGTCGTGTCACCCACAAGTTTGCCACCTTGCTGTTCAACCCCTTCCTCGTGTATGAGTCTGGCAGATGGGTTTGATACTTACTTAAGATCCTGGTGATATTAGAGGGCTGCTGGAGGAGGAAGTAGTGGGCAACTATTCCTCCTCTTTCCATCAGCACAGCTTGCATCTCACCTAGATTCAGATTGAGCCAGCTGCTCCTCAGGGAGGTGCTGGCAGGCTCTTTTTGACCCTGCAGCACATTTGGAGGGATGCTGGTGCAGGCTGTCCGTGGTGCGCAGGGCCAGCTGTTCAGCTGACACAACTGATTTAACGGCTGGAGACGAGGAGCTGGCCATCACGGGCATGGGGACAGCTGACATGGAGGTGGGGTGGCCGCAGCTGGACACAGTGATGGGGTGAGACAGGTGGGGTGGCCTGAACAGAGTCTACAGGGCAGTGCTGGGTTGAGGGTGAACCTGCAGAAGCAGTGCCCATTCTTTGCCCACCTTGTGGTGGTGTCATCATCGCTCCCTCCACAAGCTGACAGTTATGTTTGTTATTAATAACAAGCAGGACTTTCAGAGGCAGGCCCCTGCTTCCTCGCTGCTTGTCAGTGCTGAGCACGGCCGGTCAGAGCGTGCTGTGAGCGCTGCTCGCACAGCCGGAGCTGTCCCCGGTGTGTCCCCATTCCAGCGTGTCAGCCATGCATTTAAGACACCTGCTTCTTTTCGCTCCTGTGTTGGCCACAGACTAATAGGGACAAACAGGAAGAGGACCTAGCAGAATGCAGAAAATAATCGTCCTGTGCCAAAAGGGAATGTATGATCAAAACTACAATGGGCAGGCAAGCAGCGAGGCAGTGACCCGAGGCAGCGCAATGTGTCAGGAAGAGAGAGCAGCAGCCCAGGGACAGCAACAGCCCAGAGCCTCAATTTGTAATGACTGTGTGGACCACATGCCAAAAAGTCTCTCCCGACCTCCTTGCTCCAGAGAGCTCTCCTAATGCTCTTAGCCACTTGGACATCACAAGAGAAAGAGCCTGCACGTTTCCAGCACACAACCAAAGGCATTTGCTTAAGCAGAGCACTGCCGTGCTTCGGCACTGCCGAACCTGCCTCTGACTCGGAGTGCTCCAAACACCTGTGAGTCATACGATGGGAAATTCTCCCTGTCTTCACAAGCACAGATGAGTTTGAACCTTCTGGGCATTCTAGCAGTTTACCATCTGCACATATAACCTTTTTTCTGAGCACACTGAAGTCTTGTAGGAGGATGTTAAATCCAGGAACCAAAATAAGGAAACATGTT